TCCCTAACCACTCTGCCTTGGCCCCACCACCGTGGGTTTGTCCAGAAGGGCGCCTGGAAGTCCAGAAGACTTCCAGTCTATCCGGTCTAATTAGCATATTACCCTTTTATTAGTATAGATACTTTCATTGATTTCAGAGAGGAAGGGAGGGGGAGAGAGAGAGAGAAACATCAATGATGGGAGAGAATCATCGATCAGCTGCCTCCTGCACGCCCCCTACTGGGGATGGAGCCTGCAACCTGGGCATGTGCCTTGACCAGGAATCAAACCGTGACCTCCTGGTTCATAGGTTGACGCTCAACCACTGAGCCACGCCAGTGGGGCCTAATCTGCATGTGAGAACCCTTGCGGTGCTTACTAAAAACATACCTGTGGAGGTACAGAGGCAGCAAGTCATGGACACCCTATAGTTCAACCCTTTATCTTTACAGATGGAGAGGCTGCAGCCGAGAAACAGTGTCTCGCCAAAGAGCCACAGCAAGTCACCTCCTGGCTCTCGGGCCTCTGCCAGGTGGCATGGCTGACCACCCACTCAGGCAGCAAGAGAGTCTCCTGCCTCTGCTGGAAAAGATCATCCCCTTGGGCAGCTGATGAAGGCCAACTCTGTTTGTCAAGGCCACGAGGTATTTACTCCCCCGAGGAGCGAGGAGGTGGGGGAAGTCCAAAGGAGCTTTTAATAGGCCTGTTTAGGGTAAATGTTGATGAGGTCACAGGAGGATTCACTTCCCTAACCTGACAGGAACCGTTATTTTCCTGTTTCTCTTTTCACATGATATGATTTGCTTAGAATATTTAACTTAAAATGAAATGACCAGATTTCAGATATGCAAAAATTAGAACCAGGGGTAAGCCCAGGAGAACTGGCACCTGCCATCACTCTCCTCTCAGCTCGGCCACCAATTTGCCATCTGACCTTGGGGACCTTGGACGCATCGCCTAGTCGCTCTGGGCCCTGGCCCCTGGCCACGAGTCTTCCCAGCTCTGATGGCCTGTGGTCCTCTGAGTCCAACTCACTCCACAATCAGCCTGCAGCCAGGAGCCCTGCTGGCTCTTCTGTGGGCTTGTTCTGGGCCAGGAGAACAAAACAGACCCAACGATTTCTATAGCTGAAGAGAGAGGTTAGTGGTCAGCCCACAAAACTAATGGGAAATAGAGATGGAGCACAAAGGCTGGGGAAATAAGGCCGTCTTCAAGCAGGGAGACAGCAGAAATGACCCAGAACAAAGGGGGCCCTGAAGGGCACTGTGGGGACACTTTTCAGGAAATTAAATTTTGGTACCAGGTTCTGCTCACTGTGGACCACCTTAACTTTTTTTTTTTTAATTATTGATAGTTATGCTGAGGGAAAGAAGCCAGGTATAAAGGACATCATGCATGATTCCATTTATATAAAATTCTACAAAATGCAAACTAACCCATCATGACTGAGAGCAGATCAGAGATTGCCTGGGGAAGGGGGAGGGAGAAGAGAGGGCAAGAGGGAGGGATTGCAAAGGGGCACGAGGACTCTTTGGGAGCATGGATGTATGCTCACTATCTCGCAGGGACGTGCACCACACGTCAAAACATAAAATTGCTCTCTCTGAGCCCTGGCTGGTTTGGCTCAGTGGATGGAGCACCGGCCTGCAGACTGAAGGGTCCCGGGTTCGATTCTGGTCAGGGGCATGTACTTTAGTTGTGGGCATATCCCCAGTAGGGGGTGTGCAGGAGGCAGCTGATCGATGTTTCTAACTCTCTATCCCTCTCCCTTCCTCTCTGTGGAAAATCAATAAAATATATTTTTTTAAAAATTGCTCTCAAAAATTGCTCTCTTTGGCCCTAGCCGGTTTGGCTCAGTGGATGGAGCAGCGGCCTGCGGACTGAAGGGTCCCAGGTTCGATTCTGGTCAGGGGCATGTACTTTAGTTGTGGGCATATCCCCAGTAGGGGGTGTGCAGGAGGCAGCTGATCGATGTTTCTCTCTCATCAATGTTTCTAACTCTCTATCCATCTCCCTTCCTCTCTGTAATAAATCAATAAAAAATATATTTTAAAAATTGCTCTCTTTGAATACATGCAGTCAACTGTATGTCTATTATATCTCAGTGAACCTGTTTTAAAAACTGTAATGAGCCTAGAACATCTTGTCAGACCAGAAAGCAAGCAAACTAGTCATTTTGTTAAAAGGATTCATGTGCCAACGTGAATAGGACCCACTGGCCAAAGATGGGAAAATGGGAGCATCAATTAGGATAATAACTATAGTGGATTGAAAAAGAATAAATAGCCCTGGCTGGTTTGACTCAGTGGATAGAGTGTCGGCCTGTGGACTGAAGAGTCTGGGTTCAATTCTGGTCAAGGGCACATGCCCGAGTTGCGGGCTCAATCCCCAATAGGGGACATGCAGGATGCAGCCGATCAATGATTCTCTCTCCTCATTGATGTTTCTATCTCTCTTTCCCTCTCTCTCCCTCTCTGAAATCAATTTTTAAAATATATTTTATTGATTTTTTACAGAGAGGAAGGGAGAGGGAGAGGGATAGAGAGTTAGAAACATCAATGAGAGAGAAACATTGATTCAGCTGTCTCCTGCACACTCCCTACCAGGGATGTGCCTGCAACCAAGGTACAAGCCCTTGACCAGAATTGAACCTGGGACCCTTCAGTCCGCAGGCCGACGCTCTATCCACTGAACCAAACCAGTTAGAGCTGAAGTCAATTTTTTTTAAAAAGGTGTAAATCCATGTGTGTTCATAACGATAATATTAATAAACCTCATTGATCAATATCCTTTGGACATACTAGGGACCCAATTATTTTTAAATTGCTAAAGGTAAAGAATTATGCACCTAGCATGTCTTTCTTATATGAAGTGTACTTCATGTAATCAGTTAGCCCCGTGGTCGGCAAACTGCGGCTCACGAGCCACATGAGGCTCTTTGGCCCCTTGAGTGTGGCTCTTCCACAAAATACCACGTGCGGGCGTGCGTACAGTGCGATTGAAACTTCGTGGCCCATGTGCAGAAGTCACAGTTTTCGGTCTGGGCGAGTCTATTTTGAAGAAGTACTGTTGATATTTGGCTCTGTTGACTAATGAGTTTGCCGACCACTGAGTTAGCCAATGAAGGGAATGTTCCTCTTCATAGGTATTTCAGCTAATAAAGCTAAAATGGTGTCATCATTTACAACCCTTTATCAAGGCCATGGTCACCAATGGCTGAAAACATCACAAAATGAGAAACATGCAGGTATTATGATTCTCCTCATGGGAGCACACAATACCACAAAAGTAGTCTTGTACAAAAAGTCAAACCGATCTGACTAGACCTTTTAGATGTAACCACCAATATGCAGAGAACACAGGAGGGCAGGGGAAGATGTTAAAACAACGCCATGGGGCCCTAGCCGGTTTGGCTCAGTGGATAGAGCGTCAGCCTGCAGACTGAAGGGTCCCAGGTTTGATTCTGATCAAGGGCATATAACTCGGTTGCAGGCTTGATCCCCATCGCTGGTCGGGGTGTGTGCAGGAGGCAACCAACTGATGTGTCTCTCTCCTCATTGATGTTTCTATCTCT